TCAGCTTGCTGGTGGCTGGACATCTTTTCCGGTTCATTTTGTTCATGCTGCTCTTTGCAGCTTGTTGACTGTGCTGCAAACAAATAAAAGAAGTATAACTTTTTAGTTTTCTTTTTACCTGTTAACATGGCTCTTAGAACACGCTCGAAAAGAAGTCTGAGTAAACAATTACAGAACCAACTGCGCCAATAACAAATATATATTTTTGGAAATTTTACGACAGCTTTCTCATCGACAGCTCAGCATAGTCTCTCCAAGCTAACAACAGCAACCGCTGCTCGGAGGCGAGCCAAACACGGCCTGCTGATTGTGTTTTCTACGTTTTAACGTAAACAACCTTTTTGAAAAAACTAGGTTGCTAAAAAGCTAGTTTTTTTTTATGTCGGTGATGTTAGTCGCGCTAGAGTTGCTAGTCTGGCCGAGGAGCACTACCCTCTTTGTTCATCGCGACAGAAATTCGCGCATCTTCTCGTATAGTTAATAATTTCTAGAGAGATAATCCTGCACAGAGCGAATACACGACTCAAACATTTTAAGACTGCGTTTTATTAATGGGGAGCACTGGCGCTGGGCACGGAAATGCCCAGAGTTGCTGAGTACGTCAGTGAAGACAGACGGGGCTCTAATAGAAACGTTGCTAAATTCGTTAGACACATTTTCCTTTGTGAGGACTTAAACATTCGTGAGTGGGTGCGTCTCTCACTCTTGCCTTCGTTCATGAGGCACTTCATTCACCTCAACAAGATCAGTCATTTTGCTCAACGGGGTCCTGTTGAGGTGCCACGCTATCGACTACGAAAAGACTTCATAGAATGATACCGACACGTGCTGCTATATAGAGACTTTTAATGAAAAGGATATGAATAATTTAACCAACTAAACTGAGCTCTGGAATGAATTTAATTGTGCCTTCAACAACGAAGAAAAATACTACAAGGTCAGTTTCCTCGTTTTTTTCTTGGAAAGATCATATTATGTGAATGAAACTGCCTCTAGGAAGCCTTCATACAAGCACTGAACGTCCCTGAATTGACTCATCCAATCACCAAACCAGTACCGATGTGCACGGTGGACCCCTTCTTTCGTTTCTAATAAATTGCACTGTTCTTTCTTTGTATACTGCTCCGGCAATTTATGGGGTTCTAAAATAGCGGTGTCGTTTGCATGGGCACCGACAGGACCTTCTTTCTAACATTTGTCACACATTCAGTTTTAATATCCAGCCACTAAACTACCAGTATATACCATGGAAAAGTTCAAAATATTTTCACAATTTGGACACTCAAAAAAACTTCAAATTAATTAATCAGATAGCATGAATGATGTGAAATGACAGAAATCTGATCTTCGTCCACCCGAGTAAGTTACCAAGCTTTCACCTAATTACGAAAGATAAAGGCAATGTCACTGATGGGTCCGGCTACCAGAGGGCCAGTACTTCTGAGGACTTTCCTGCGAGCTTGGATGCAAGCAAGTCAGTCGTTCAGCTCGATCACTAGGTAGATAGACTTACCTACCTATCTCAACAAGCTGAAAGCCAACCTGAAGGTTCCTGCTCCATGGAATTGCCATGCACTTTGTTATTTCTCAGGATTCATCATCTATAGCATGCAAGCTGCCTGCCTCAAATGTTTCAGCTATTGGCTCCATTCAACCACCTGCTCCAGAAAAATGTGAAATAGAGGTGTGTATTAAAGGAAGACGACGGCTTTAACAAGGCAAAGCAGACACTGCTGCGTCAGGCTCCTGGTGTATCGCAACCACACTGAGGAACTGATCCTGAATGTGCCACACCTCCAGAGGCAGTTGGACCAGTGTCGTCACACAACATCCACGGAGTCAAAAGGCCCATAGGAGGTTAACCTTCTTCCAAGAATTCCATGACACACGCATGGGTATCAACGCAATGAGGTAAGGCAATGGTTGATGCCGTACAACCTTGAACAATATGCCAACAGGCTGCATTAATGCCACCAGAAGCAGAGCCACAAGCTTGGCCAGAACCCACGGCTCCATGGACAAGAATTTACATGGACTGCACTGCACCTATCGAAGGTAAAACGGTGCTAATTGTGGTAAACAGTTACCAAGATTGAAAGAAACCACTGGCATCTGCAGCCAGCCAACTCCACTGCAACAGTCGAATATCTGAGGAACACGGTCGCCTGGTTAGGACTTCCTGTTTGCTTGGTGTCCAATAATGGAACACCATTCCCCGGCATGCTGTTTACCGACTTCATTACTCAGAATGGAATTGGCCACCTAAGGACTGCACCTAACTATCCACAGTCAAACAGACTTCCCGAGAGAGCTGTCAGAACGATCAAGGACAGTCTAAAGAAACTCTCGGGTGGTTCTTTGGCTGCATACTTGCGAAGATGGCTCCTTGTGTACCGTCGCACACCGCCTACCACAGGAGGACAATCTCCAACAGAGCTCGTGTTCAACTTTTGTCCTAGAGTTTGCTGCATGGACCTCATCACTGAGACCCAGGAGCCAAAGGTAGACCTGGAAAGACCTAGCAACCTCAAAGAAAGCAGCCCTGTTTTTGAAAGAAACATGGGAGCTGTAGAACAATGGGGACCAAGATCATCTTCCAGGTTGTCGAAAACTGCATGACTTTGGTAAAATCCACCATGGCACAATGAAGCAGCACCTGGGCCAGTTGTGCCCCAGACGCTTTAACTCAACTCATTTCTAGTCAGATGATGATATTACCACTGGGCACTAACTTGATTGGCAGTTAACAAGTGAAAAAACCAGGCTATGGACCAGGAACTGAGCAGGCATTTTAAGCAGTGCAAGGGTGCCCCACTCAGGCACGGGGGACACCAACCAAGATGAACCTTTAGCTTGTGCGGCAAAGTGTTGGATCAGGCCACCACCAGGGGTCAGTGTTTCTGGGGGCTTCCCTGTGCAACGGCCATGGGCTTTCTCTCTTTTCCCACACTTTCCAGTGACCATGTAACAAATATGTATGACACGGCCATGTCAATTATTCCCTAATAAACAAATAGGTATGATCCTTGCACTCCATGGATGAAGCAGCCACCAACAATTTCAACATTGGTCTGTATGGAGTCAAAAAACAAGGAAATAAAGGAACTTCTGACACACAACTATTCTTGATGCATGCACACAATAGACTACTTCCATAAAGCCCTGCATGCAACACGGCGCGCGTTGCACTCTGGGAACTAGTTGGCCAGGGAGGAGAGTGGCATGGTTTCAGTTTCGATCGACACGTGGACCAGAGATTACACACAGAGCGTGGACTATAAACGGCCATTATCTCATGTTTTCTGGTCCCGAGAGCGTCATTTGTGGTCTATAAACTAACCTAAATGGCCAGACCTCGAAGCTTTAGCACAAGCCCGAGACGTATATAGCTTCTCTTAACACATGCTTGTTCTATTTTTGTACTTGAGCCTTTTTGTTAGCGTTTCGAGGTATCTGGACGAGCCAGTGCTGGGAATCTCGACGCTGCGAAGCTCGGGGATCTTGCTTATGTACGAATCAACAGGCTGTAGCAACCAATAAGTATGCATACATCGAGCTCGCGCCTTTACATTATATGTTGTTGATCAGGAAGTTTGTTCGTTTCGTGCGTCCATAGAAGAAATATTACTTTTTGCAATTACTGTTTTCTTAATATGCCTGTGTACGCGAAGTAAAACTCGGAGGTGCCATTGAAAAGCTCAATTATAACACACTTCTTATCTCTTATCTGTACTGACCCGCAGCGCTGCACGAAGCGAAGTCCCCACCCACTTGCATTTTACTAATATTCAACATCGCGTATGCACGTAAAGTTGTCCTGCAATCGTATAGGCACATTCGCGCATACAAACCGTTTTAAGAAAGCAAAAGTCGAGCACTTGTGTGAAAAATGTTGCACCATTCGCCAGAAGTACGCCAGACGGGTATGAACCCCTATGCGGTGCGCCAAACGAACGAAATTATTCAAAGTGCATTTGACGGTTGCTAATGGCCATAATATTTGTCATGTGTTAGCTTTCTTCCTGCCTGAGTATGCCGCGATAATTTCGGACACACCGTTCAGGCATAGATCTTGGGCGTCAGTAAAAGCCCGTCCAAAAAGGCTTAGCGAGGAGTAGGGGACGCTTGTTAGGGCCTCCGTTGTAGCTAGCCCATCTCCGCGTTTGCGAAAACTTAATCTTCTATCAGCATAAAATTTGAGTGGGAGATATATGATGACACGAGGAAGACATCATAGTAACTTTGGCGCAGTAGTGAGGTCGAATTTATTGCGTTTCCTTAAAAGTTTGCGCGTCAACGCTGGGCTCAACTTTGATACTCCTGTGAGAATGCGGCTTGCTTTTTGCCCAATGAAGTAACAAGAAGCGGACGTTTGGCAAACAAAATAGGTAAAAGGCTCCAGGTGAACAAATTTCAGTTCTACTTCACTGGTACTAGACGGGATTATTGAAATTGAACTCAAAGATGCACTCGTTAAGGTAACTAAGCCACGTCTTACTACGTTTGCATACGCACTCAAATATCCGGTGTTTCGGGTACCAAAAAAAGTGCCCCGGCCTTCGTTTTGTATCGCTCAAGAATGAGTATATTGTACATTCGTAAAAAAGTCAGATAATCGAAAACGCAAGCAGTGCGTTCGGTCGCAGCGTGATAGCATGAGATGAATCTGCTCAGTCGAAACCGAAACTGAGTGGCCAACTAGTTCCCAGAATGCACTGCATGGTATTTCGCCGCAATGGGGCGCATCGGTTTTGGAAGAAGTCCATTGGCCAGCAGTCTCCTTGCAACATCCTGGACACAGCAACAAAACCCAGCCCTTGCACCTGTTACACTGAGTACGAGCGTCCGACAAAAACTAACTCACGGAAAGGAAATGGCGGCAGTTAGGTCTACTGCAAACGAACTAACACACAGATACCTGACAATAATTAAGTCTGCAACTACAATGAAATAAAATGAGACAGACCCAAAAGCTGCAACCGATGACCATGGAGGGGACACGGGTCTCGTGCCTCTGCAAGAAAAAACACAGAAACTGCAAAATTAAAATAGGCAAGTGGATAAACCAAAAGGGTCGGAGGCAAAGTATAGGCTCCCAGAAGCGCAAAGGTGCTGCACGGTGAAGGCTCACATGGAAAGCTCATGAAGTAAAGGGATGGCTTGCAAATGTCTTAAACAAGTGCAGAAGTGAAAAACTTGAGGATACAGAGAGAGTGCATATTTCGAGGTGTGCGAATGATACGAGGAAAGTGAACAGAAGAATGACAGGGGAAAAGACAAGCTAACATGGGCAGGAAGTCTCTGCATAGGCTTTCATGCAAGACACCAGGAAGGAAAGTGTAGGCTACAAACATCCACATGAAGCAAAAAGGGATGAGTGAAACATAAGCAGTGCACAGCACAAGGAGGAGGACAAGAAAAAAAAAACATGATACAGAAGAGCAAGATTGCATGGCAGCGAAAGCTTCACATAGGCCTACACGTAGAGCAGAAGAAAAATTGCTCCCCACAAAGAACCGTAGCAAGCGTAAAAAAATTCAGAGGCTTCATGCAGCCATACGCACAGAGCACAATAAAAAGAAAAGCTTCCTACAAACATCTGAAGCAAGCGTAAAAGTAAAAGGATATTCTGGGACCTCACTCAGGCTTACATGCAGAGCATAAGAAAAAGCAAGCTTCCCACAAAGAGCTGAAGAAAGTGTGAAAAAAATTTAGATGCTTCACGCAAACTTACACGCAGAGCACAAGAAAAAGAAAGGGTTCCCACAAACATCTGAAGCAAGCATGAAAAAAATCCAGAGGCTTCATGCAGGCTTGCACATAGAGCATAAGAAAAAGAGCTTCCCACAAACATCTCTAGTAAGCGTAAAAAAAATTCAGAGGCGTCACACAGGTTTACAGGCAGAGCCTAAGAAAAAACGCGTTCTGCAAAGACCCATAGCAAGTGTAAAAAAAATTCAGAGGCCTCAGGCAGAGCACAAAAAAATGGGCTTCTCACAGACCCGTAGCAAGCATAAAAAAAGTACAGATGCTTACAAGCACAGCACAAGAAACTTCCCACAAACATGTGTAGCAAGCATAAAAAAAAATGCAGAGGCTTCACGTAGGCTTATATGGAGATCACAAGAAAAAGGGCCTCGCACAAACAACCGTTGCAAGAGTAAAAAAAATTCAGAAGTACCTCGGTAAACAAGGAACGCAAAAAATGAAAGCTGCCCTTAACACAAAGAAGAAAGCAAAGTAAAAACAAAATGAGAACGGGACAACAGTTTCATCAACTAAGGCAATCTAAAACACTAATTAGTTTTCCGAGGTCCTGCCATCGACTGCCGAAGTCCCTGCGTTCAGCTGCCCCAGCCGCCAACTCGCGACTTTTTTCCCGCAGGAACAGTTGCAGCCGTGCATGGCAGAATCGCCTGATGAGCTTCATTTTGATTTCATGGCGGTCGGGCAGCTGAACACATTGGCTCTCTGCAGCCATCCTCACCGATAGGCCGTCCAGGATGCCCCGTGCATGCATCAAATCCGCAATGAGGCTGCGAAAGACACTTTCACAAATTGTGAAGAGGGCGCGTGCAGCTTCAGAGGGGCAGGTCAGAGCGTCAGGGACATAACTCTTTAGCCTGAGGAGGCTATTTGCAGGTGCCATGGGGACTTGAACAGCTGCAGCACACGTGTCACATGTAGCATTATGTTTTACAACTCTTCGTACCACATACCCGCGTAATAGTCAAAGCTATTCTCCTCAGGTTGTGACATGGCGAGTTCTACCTCCTCAAGAAAAATGTCGGTGAGCACAGCAGGTTGTACATCCAAGTCTGCGAGGTCAGCCAGGTAAAAGGAGGCATCGTCCAGTTCGTAGGACCCTGCCTTGGACGCCTTCAGGTACTGCGAGTGTGTGATGATTTTCAAGGTCATCTTAAACTCCAAGAAGTTGGGATATGGTTGCCCTGTCGCATTACCGAAAACAAGTTTTCATGGCAGTCCTGCGTGAATCTGGATGTGAGCACAAATGAAAAAGAATGTCCCTCAATGAGACTTTGCTGCAGGTCTAGAATGGACTTGGTAGAGAGGATTACTTCCGCCTGCACTGGCTTGAACGCCCCATCCCCAATAGTGAGGTGGAGAAAAAGATCCTTAAATTTGACCAGAAAGTCAAGGGTGTTCTTGTAGCAGGCCTTATTTTGCCTGCTGATCGCAAGGACTGGGTGCCTGCTGCTCATAAGATCAAACCATTTGTTGACCTGTTCCAAGAACCAAGCCGTGGTGAGGAAGTTGGTGCTCCAGCCATGATTCTCCACCAGAAAGCGCAGGGCAGTGGCCGTGGAGTGACTGAGGACCCGTAGGGCAGTGCTCACCTACAAACACAGAACTGCTTTAGATCATCAAGCGTATGCAATGTTTGGTAAACTCGACTGAAGGAATCAATGATTTGAAACTTCCCCCTCAGTCAATAAAAGAACAGCATGGGCACTAAACGAAGAAAAGGCTGCTAACTTCCATTATTGTTGTCCATACGAATGGTTTTTGCTGGTTTTTTACGAGTTTTTGCCACTCTCTTAAAGTTGGCAGTTCCACTTGATGAGCAAAGGTGATGAATCCCAGCACTGAAGTAAAGTACACTCCATGGTTACTTTGGTAGCTGTGCGTTGCTAAAAGTGTCACTGACTCCGATTTGTGAACCACTGACTGATTTTGTTGAAAACACTTTAAGGGAAGCTAAAGAGGTTCTCCAAAAAAAAATGAGTTAGAGGTAAATTCTTCCGTATTTGTATCCTGCAAATTTGAATATGCACTATTTGCTCAAGAAGTATCACCCAACGCAAAGAAATATTTAAAAAATTCACTCGGCATGATGTCACGTCAAGAACTTTCACCTGGCCACCGAAGCTCAAGCACCATCTCTCGTGCAGTGTTCCGGCACATGTGACCAGCCTTGCCCAATGCAGCGTTTTTTTTTTTCTCGTGAAATGGTGCGTCATCTGCTACAGACGCCTAGTTCCCACTCCAATCTTTCACGCCTGACCAACATCCGCTAAATCTTTTATGAAAGTTTATAGGTGTACTAAACTTACGTCAAAACAAACAGGCGAGTGAAAATCGTGAGCATGAGGTGAATCGCACACAATTTGTCGACCACTCAAATAAGCTTGCAATAGCTGCAGAGATTCCGAGGATCCTTGTTGCGACGCTGCTGTCTCTCAGAAATTTCCTCCTAGCTTCTTACACCTCGGGAGGGCGGGGCTTCAGCGCTATGGTCAAAATGCTTTGATGGCTACTCCGGGCCTCAAATTGACAAATAATTTTAATATTCGTGATACTGGAGGCCATATGAAGATGATGCAAGTGTTTTTTAAAGGTACAAAACCGCTTTAGTTTCCCCTTAAGCAGGCACGTGCGAATAACGAATTTTATGTTTCAAGCGAATAAGAAGCTAATAGTGACTAGGGTCGAATAATTTCGAATCGCATATTGAATACTTGCTAAGCCTTTCTGATACTGCCATTGCGCTCAGCTTCCGCCATCTTGACAGTGTTGATGTCAAGATGGCGGAAGGTAGCTTAGCTTAATGGAAGCTAACCTAAGTTAGCTTCCAGTCGTGTGTAACTAGCTTAGCTAGCTACAAACAAGCTAAGCTACATGCTAACTTAGCTTAGCACTCTTACCTTAGTACACATTTTTCAAAACATTATAGTATTTGAGTGATGGATGAGTGTGAACGAGTATGAATAAAAAGTCATTTTAGATATGATATAAAGACTATCATACCTAAAACACCTAATATCAAGGGGCACACAGTAATCCACTGAAATGAGGTTAGACAAGAGTAATTTTGAGTATGTTTTGTTCACGTTCTCAAGGATGTGCGTAAATTCTGCAGTTGCTAATCGAAGCAACAAATGAAGCTTGTCATTTAGTTCTCCTTGTCAACAGCCTTTTTCCTGTAGAGATAGCTTTCTAGTGCACAAACTCAGCATGTGAGCAATGATTATACTTTGTAAAGGAAAATCTAGCTGGTTTCATTTAGGTTATTCTCAAGTATCTGCCTACCCACTGCCAAGGCTCAGTTAATTCTGATCTAAATTACTGAATGACTCTCGCTTCAAATAAATCAAGCCCTACATAGAGATTGTAAGTAGATGAGAGATTTGTCAGTCCTCTTGCTATACCCAAATATTCGTTTTAAATCTTAGACTAAAGAAATGATGCGCAATGATGCACACTGCTTGACGGGACCTCAATTGTAGAGTAACACATATTCATGGTAAAAGCCAGTTTTTTTTTTTTTGGCCTTGAGGTAAGCACTCATATTGACCAGGAACATGAACAATCATTACGCTACATTACAATGTTTTCCTGAATTCGTCGCACACGCGCGTGACCTCTTCTTCTCTGGAGGTGTGCCTTCCACTCAATGCACAATCGCAGTGCCTGCGAAATACGCACGATGACGGTGTTTTCTCTGTAAGTGTCGCTTCTGCACAGCACACCGGTGCTCCTTAAGAAGCGCACTCAACTGCGCTAACTCGCTGCAATCGCGACTTTGTCAGCACTTAGAAAGTGTGCACATCACCGAACGAACGGCACGCGGCCAACTCATCGCGAGTCCCAAGGGCAACTGATAAGAGCGCTAGAGCGATCTCGACATCACAGGACACAGGACACACACGATTGGTAGGTGAGATGATGACGTTTTATTCTAGTAGGGCCGCGCCAATCACGGGGTGCAGATTTGACCTACCTTCCACTACATTAATGGGACGCTTAGTACCTGGGAATGGTGACTAGAATGACGTCACGTGAGAACTGTGTATAGCCATAGGCTGGGGATGGCAACATGTGCAGCATGTGCTGAGCTGTAAACAATGTTTAATTTTGGCCATTCGTGTGCAGAGATTAGTCATGAGCTGCCCAAATGTTTGCCGAGGCACTTATTGTCACGAACCCAAGTCAAGTGTTCATGCAGTGCTCGTATGGAATCCATAAGCCTCATTCGACCATCATCACCACAGGGTGCTCTCCTAGACACCGTCAGCATAATTACCTCCATGGTCGCATCAGCAAGGTTACAAAAATTGGAAGTGAAGGAAACACTCCCCCTCTAAACTTGAATTCACATCTCGACGAGTGCAAGATACTGAGGTCAAACTAGTGCTGTATGCCTGCGATGAGAGAATCATTCCAACACAATATCAATAATCTACCCCTTCATACCACACTGCAACTAAATGAAAAAGGAACCATGACACCAACTTATCATTTAAAAATAAATTGTGTAAAATACAAAAACACTACAGTTACTAACAAGGATATTATACCTGCAAATAATCAACAGGGAGCTTTGAAGCATTTGAGTAGCCTGACAACAAACTTGCCTTAAAGCCGCCGCCCTAGAGTTCTAGACGACGGCAATGGGAAGCTCCCCTCCAGTAGCAAGTCGTAGCCCAAGCTGCCACATGCAGATCGCATCTGCAGCGACTTCTTCACCGTCTCATTAGACCACTTGGACCCCCTGTTGCTGGATCTCGATAGAGCTGCCAGTTGGTCCACAGTGAAGAACTCGTGCAAGTGAGACCGGAATGTCGCTTCCCTTGTCTTTTGTAAGGCAGCCTGCCTCACCAAGCGATGATTCTCGTTCTCCAGCTGCTTGATCTTCCGGCTCATCTGAAGAAAGACATCTTCAGTGAGCCTAGGTGAAACGGGTGATGGAGAAAGAGGCTGTAGGGTTCGCTCAGAGGTCTTGGCCGCTGGTTGCCATAAACACGGTACAAGAATTGGGTGTCGCCCACCTCATGAGATCACTCCAAGCAGTGCAAGAACCATGACACATACCCAGCTGGTGGAGGCCGCCGACACCAAGGTGCCGAGGGCAGCTGCGCTGGCCTGGCCGCGCTGGTAGTCACTGGTCACCTGCAGCGAAGGGTGCGGTGGTATTGCTACACGGGGGTATGCAGGACCCTGGAAGATGCTTACGAAGCACGCCCCGCTGGTGGTGGGGAGTGGCTGCGTTAGCAGGCCGCCCTGCAGGGCCGCTCCAGAGGTCCTGGCTGCTGGTTGCTGCAAACACGGTACGAGAATCGGGTGATTCCCACCTCACAAGATCACTCCAAGCCGTGCAAGAACCACACACCCAGCTGATGGTGTCTGCCGACACCAAGGTGCCGAGGGCAGCTGCGCTGGCCTGGCCGCGCTGGTTGTCACTGGTCACCTGCAGCGAAGGGTGCGGTGGTATTGCTACACGGGGGTACGCAGGACCCTGGAAGATGCTTACGAAGCACGCCCCGCTGGTGGTGGGGAGCGGCTGCGTTAGCAGGCCGCCCTGCAGGGCCGCTCCAGAGGTCCTGGCTGCTGGTTGCTGCAAACACGGTATGAGAATCGGGTGATTCCCACCTCACAAGATCACTCCAAGCCGTGCAAGAACCACATACCCAGCTGGTGGAGTCTGCCGACACCAAGGTGCCGCGGGCAGCTGAGCTGGCCTGGCCGCACTGGTTGTCACTGGTCACCTGCGGCGAAGAGCGTGGTGGTATTGCTACACGGGGGTACGCAGGACCCTGGAAGATGCTTACGAAGCACGCCCCGCTGGTGGTGGGGAGCGGCTGCGTTAGCAGGCTGCGTTAGCAGGCCGCCCTGCAGGGCCGCTCCAGAGCTCCTGGCAGTTGGTTGCTGCAAACACGGTACGAGAATCGGGTGATTCCCACCTTACAAGATCACTCCAAGCCGTGCAAGAACCACATACCCAGCTGATGGTGTCTGCCGACACCAAGGTGCCGCGGGCCTGGCCGCGCTGGTTGTCACTGGTCACCTGCGGCGAAGAGCGTGGTGGTATTGCTACACGGGGGTACGCAGGACCCTGGAAGATGCTTACGAAGCACGCCCCGCTGGTGGTGGGGAGCGGCTGCATTAGCAGGCCGACCTGCAGGGTCGCTCCGGAGGTCTTGGCCGCTGGTTGCTGCAAACACGGTACGAGAATCCTCGTTTTGCAGAAATATGGGTTCGAGAATAAATGGATTTGTCGCCCTTTCTCTCTTCATGCTGGCCGAGCGGAGAGGGACGAAGGCTTCTTTGTATTTACCTCGGGGTGAAAGATAATCCTCAAGGGGGACAAAAGTGGTTTTGGGGGAGCTCTATCTAAGTCAATGCGACACAATAAGCCAACGGGACGCAGTGGACGTGCCTGCGGCCAGGGAACTCTCGTCTTTTAGCCATGCACTCTCGAACCACTAATTCTGCAAATGGTCCACTGGGTGTTGCCCACCTCACGAGATCACTCCAAGCCATGCAAGAACCATGACAGATACTTAGCTGGTGAGGCTGTCATAACATTACAAGGCAGCTGAGAGTGATGAATGCCTCATGCATTAACTTAATAGAAGCAACAGAATATGAGTTATTGGGTTTTGACTTACATTTCCATGAGGCGGGGTTTTGTGCTGTGTCAGGCTGCAACACTGAATGATGGTGTCTCATGCACTCTTGCACAAGGACCACTCCGATTTAAAAAAAAAAAAGGTCTCTGACATGGAACAGAGATGTCAACAGCCTACCAAGTCCACATTATTATAGGTCACCTGTGCCTCTTTCAAATCATATCAGTAAAAACATCTTAACACAAGATAAATTATTGCTTTTAATTCACTCTCATAATCTAGGTAAATACCAAAAGAACAAAAATCTCACTTATCCTCGTTACACGCACTCACTTGACTTTCAGAATGCAGAAACAAGCTCGGAACAGCTGTGGCTTTTAGCCTCCTCCAGCCGTCAGAGCACCTCGTCTGGAACTGGGAGGGCTCGAAGTGGTCCTGCAGCGAATAACGTTTTGGTAGACGTCAAAACTGTGTATTCAGCCGCTCGCGTCACAGTACAGTTATTCCGCTGACGAGAGGCTCACGCTTTCAAAATACGCGATCTTACAAATCCATCATCGCACGACCGCCACAGGCCTGAACCACTCGTCTTTCTGCGGTGAAGCGAAAGCGCACAGGACGCTTCCACGGCAGTAGAGAATAGATCACAAAATACACGGTTTCGTCACAGTGCACTCGCGTCCACCGTGCTCGCGTCACAATATTAACAATGAACAATACCTCACCTCGCAAAGGTACGTTCTGTCGGGAGGTTTCCACCCCGCGCCACGCCTGATTCCTGAAAGCCACAGTTTCCGTCTCCTCGGGGATTTCGGCAGCTTGAACAAGCGAGTTCCCCTGGAAGCTCTGTTCCGGTGTAGGACGCCGATCTCACTACCCCTCCGCTTCGACTACGGTAGTGGTTATGGCGTACGCCAAAATCAATACCGTAGTCATTTCGGCGTACGCCATAGTCAATACCGTAGTCTTTTTCGCATA